CAGCTGTGTTGTGTTTACAGCAGACAAATAGATGTTCATGGGAGAGAGTACAAAAACCACTTATTTTAATTTTCCTGTGGTATGTACGGGTGTGATTGTATTTTACAAGCACACACTCCTTGCTGGCTTCTGAAGTCTTTTTACAAGTGCTAGCTTTGCAGATACAGATTCTCACCTTGCATAGGTAGCACAGAATGCAACCTGGGAAAGATGTCCCATGAATGGCTTAATTTGGGACCAATTTACATCTAAGTGTTGCTGCCAGATGTCCACTAATCTAAATGAAACATAAAAAAGGCATTGCTGAAAATGTTAACTGTTATGTTTGTGGGTTGGAGGCATTAAGAGGAGACGCATGGTGTAACAACAAGCCTTCTTTATTGTTCTCTTCCACAACCAACAACTGCAAAAACGGCTTGCAGGCCTTTTCTAGTGTCCTATCCCCGGACAATGTCAATCAATGATTGCAGAGGCTGTTTCCTGCCTAGCGCATGTGCGCAAGGCTGGAGACAGCCAGTCTGGTCCCGGGCAACTTTTGGTCTGCCTGGGACCCTTTGCAACATTTCTGGGCCTGCTGAATGCTTCAGCAGGCTCAGGACATAACATTAACTATTGTACTGAATGAACTTCTATAAAGTATTTTTGAAAAACAGTTGTAGCCAAGGTAGGATAATCCTTGGAGACATTGTGCAGGCTTCCTGGAATGCACAAATGTCATTCAACCCCATTTCATGAAATATAAGCTATCCAAGTGTTGCTGAAAATTTACCATTTGTCATGTTTTAAGGGGCATTGCTTCACGAGCATGATTACTTTCCAGAATAGTATTAGTAAATGCCAAGATGTATAGCAGCTACCTTTTCCTGTTCAGTCAAAAGCATGCTGTGAAACAAAAAGATTAATTTAATCTGTTCCAAAACTAATGAAAGATTAGTAGCTAAGTTTAGTTGACTCTTAAGAAAGGCCCAATTTCTTCTACAAACCACTGACCTCTTATTCCTGCTGGCAATCTTATTATGCTTTACTTGTACCTCAGGAGGATGAATCGTTCCATATGTTCTTCTGTATAGACCAGGGGTGTCAAACTCAATTTCATTGAGGGCCGCATCAGCACTGCGGTTGCCCTTGGGGGGCTGGGTGGGTCTGAGCAGGGTGGGTGTGCGTGGATGGAGTGGGTGTGGCCTATGGGTAGGCGTGGCCAGCTCTACATTGTTTGCGTCAAGGGTGCCTGTGGGAGCCTGGGCAGAAGTGGAACAGATCTGAGGGTCTCTGGCAGAAGGGGGTGGGACCGGGGCAAGGGCCAAGGCATAGTCCATTTCTTCCATCCTCACAAAGGGTGACACCTCCCCAGCATGCACCCAGGGGGCGGGGCCAATGCGACAGGGGCTGGTTCCTCGCTGTTTCTGGATGGCCTTGTGGAGGTAAGACTGAATGCATTTCAGCATAGATGGCCACCACAAAATTGTACATTGACTCCTGGCCGGCCTGGGCCAGGGCCAAGACAGTGGGGGCCGTTCCCTCACTGTTTCCAGGATGGCTTCGCGGGCCACATGAAACCACTTTGTGGGCCACATCTGGCCCCCAGGTCTTGTGTTTGACATGTCTGGTATAGAAGAACAGATGACTTCAGAAGTGTAAAAATAAAAAGTGATTGTGAAGACCTCCATAAAAATCTCTTTCAAATAGGAAAATGGTGAACTAATAAGCATATACAGTGTAAAATGGGGCAAAAATACTTTACTTCATATATATATATTAATGAGCTGAGCTATCTGGAAAAAGATCTTGAGGTTATACGGTAGTAAATAGCCCAACCAAGATGTCTACTCTGTGTGCCATAGCAGTAAAAATATAAATTCCATGACAGGGAGCACATGGAAAAAGACTTGAAAATAAAGCTACCAACACTATAATGCACTTAAACAAATCTATGATGCATCTAGAGCTGTATTTGCTCCATGTGGAAAAAAAATTGTAACAGAACAGGAAAAATGATAGAATATACCCAAAATATGGTTTGAACACCTTTGGATTGCTGAATGAAAGTGATTGGAAGTTCATTTAGAAGAAACAAAATGAAGTATTTCTTGACATGCTGGATAATTAATTTACAAAACTGATCCTGACAAGATAAGGCGATGGGATCTATTCATGGATGGTAGATCTACCAAGGTTTTTCAACCTCAAAGCCTCAGTGCTACTTCTGAGCTACAGGGAGCATGTCTTCAAAATATCAGTTGCAAAGGACTAATAGCAGGAAAATATCTTTTATTAGAATATTGGGTGGACTGAATCACTAGAAGAAGAAAAAATCCCACTTGTCTAATCTACTAATGTTATCCTTAAAATATTAAAGGGTGAAATTGACAAAGAAGCTTCACCTCCCAGACTTGATCGAGGAGGTGGGAAAAGAATGGTTTCAGACTTGATTTAGTTTTTTGCTTGTGCTGTATATAAGGCAGTTTCTTCTGATATGGGGGTGTGATCTCTTCAGATCAAATCTCCATAATAGAGAACAAACAGATAACATTTATCTAGCCTTCAGGTTCTGTAGAAAAGCATCAAATGTTCCCTGTTGGCAAATCCACTGCAAACTAAAAAAAAATCAATGAACAGTTAAATAGAGTTAGCTATATGAAACACTTCCAGATAAGGCTTTAATGCCCAATTGTCCTTTCTTATTCATTATTTTACTCCCTTTCTCTCAGTCTTTTTTCTTACCATAAAAAAAATCCTTAAAGTATTACTTGGGGCCTTTTATTGGAAAGCAATTTTATGGTCTTTCAAATTCCCACTGCATATAATCTCACAGATCAATGATATCTTTTATGTTTTACCAGTTGTCTCCAGAGTAAAACTTATGTATTTAGGAACCTCAATATTTTTTTCTCTCTTTCAGTTGACTCGTTATAGTCTGGAATCCATTTTAAACAGTGATATCCTGAACTAGACAAATGTACAGTAAAGCAACTGCTATCCATTCGTTTTTGGAATCTTTACCGTTCACTTAAAATGCAGTCTGTATTTTTTATAAAAATCTAGCTATTTAAAGTGCAGTCTTGTTTTTCATTAAAAATGAAGCTCTAAGGATCTGAATCTAAGGACTTGAGAAGATCCTTGTTTTATGCATTTTGACTAGGGATGGGAAAAACTCAAATGATTTGGGAACTGAATGTTCTAGAGAATTCTATTCCCCATCTAGGCCATGCCAAACCTTCTCTAGTCTAGAGTAGACCATACCATTCCAGGGGGGGGGACACTTTGAATCACATCTGGTTTGGAGAACTATTGCTCTTTGGAATGACTTAGGCATGGCTTGGAGAAGAAACAGAATGTTCTTGTGTTTTCCAGAACATTTCATTTCCAAATTAACAAGTTTTGTCCATATTATTTATTTTTTATTTATTACTTAGACTTACATGCTTTCAGAATCCAAAGATTTGTCCAATCATTTTTCCAATCTCCGATCTGCCAAATCAAGTCTCCTTTTAAAAGCAAAGCATACAGTACATCTATCAGCAGCATGGATCTACTGCATTGGGTAGATTACAAATGGCTAAAACAATGTGTTTGCTCTGAGCTCAGTATCTTGTATTCATATTGTTATTATGAGAGAGTTCTAGAGAGAACTGAGGCACTGGAGTCCAATGACAGAAATAAAAAAATAAATTTCTAAGTGATTCTTACACAATCAAATTCAAGAAGTATTTATCTTCAGTTTTCAGGTCTTAAATTATTACCAATTTTTTTACTTATCTGGTCTTGTATCTTGTCTAACTAATTACCTGTCCTACACCAAGAATATTTTATTCTGCAGACATTATGTATGTTGTCATGGTTATATGCTCTGTCTTCCTTTTCAAGGTTATTTAAGTGTGTTTTGTCTCCCTTAAATGTGTATTCAGTTTTATAGTTTGTGTGTGCGCTTTACTTGACACAAAGAAATAAAAGTGGGGAAATGATTTGCATTGAAATTGAAATGATGGAATATTGGAAGGTACATTTTAGAAATTTCAATAGAAATGACAGTGATAATTTGAAGAACGGAATTTAAAGAAATGCTGATCAATGTCTGTGTCCAAGAGAAAAAAAAGATGAGAACATAAATGTGGCAATATTAAAAAATGAAAAAGCTGCAGGTACTGATGGCATAACTGATAAAAAGTTGAAGTATGGATGTTAGTTTGCTTTTAATGTGAGAGTGTATGTGTGTGAAGAGTGTATCTGTGCCCGATGCCTGAAAAGCGAAGGCAGCAGCATGTAAACAAAAACTATGCAGAGAATGGTTTAAGTGTAACTAGAAGGGTGTTCGGCAGAATACTGATTAAGAGGGGAAAAAAAGAAGTAACACTGAGCAAAATTTGGGAAATGTGTTGTGGTTTTATAGCGAGCGCTGGGTGTATGGGTTGAATTTTTGCCCTTCAGAAGATAACTGAAAGAATAGGTGAAAGTAGTAATAGTGGTGATGATATAAACTGTCAGCACTAAAAGAAGCAAAAATAGATGTGTCTATGGAGATTCTCAGTCATCCAGGTCACAGTTATCCTAAAGGTGCTTTTTCACAAGGCAACTAGACTTTGTTTTTCTTTGAAGACATTTTGCTTCTTATCCAAGAAGCTTCTTCAAGCTCTGACTGGATGGTGGGGAATGGAAGCATTTAATCCCCACCATAAATCCTTCCATTCCCCACCATCCAATCAGAGCTGAAGAAACTTCTTGGATGAGAAGCGAAATGTCTAAAAAAAAAAATGAGAAAGTCCAGTTGCCATATGAAAAAGCACCTTTGGGACAAAAATAGAGGCATGTTAGAATGTGTTATATACAACTGAATGCTGGGTCAAGACAAGTCTAAATATAAGTGAATGCAGCAAGAATGGGGATCTTAGAAGTACATATATTCAAACAGGAAGTTGTCCCCTCTACAATAATTGCATCTGTTGGAGTTGCAGTTTGGGCATAGATTCCTCATTTGGTAACATCAAGGAAGAAAGTCCAGTTGGCTGGGCAAGCTGGAAGAGAAAAAGAACTTCTTGCTATCAGCACTGGCTGATGCCAAATTTAAGAAACACCCTTGGATGTATCAATGTGATTGGATAAAGGATCAAAAAGTACGGTGAGATGTAAAGCATGGTGTTTGCATAAATCAGCTTTAACTATATTTTCTTTATTTTTTTTTTCTTCTTCTCTTGCATTTCTCTGTTTTGTTATCATTTTTTTTTTTTTTTGCCTCATAGTACTTTAAGACAAACAGATATTACGTACAAAACAAGATGAAAGTGAGAGTAGAGCATAGCACGCCGGCATCTGTAAGCTGTTTCAACAACCACGGAGATTTCATGTTACTCCAACAGAAAAGGGCTCTCAACCAATCCAGAAAGGCTTCTCTATAGCCAATCCAAAACTCTTTTACACTGTTGTCTGAGAAAAGGGAAGCGTAGCAGGCAAGGCTTCTATGCTGCTTCCCAATTCTGCTTGAAGAGTCTTTGAGCAGGCATGTGTATGCCTTAAGTTTAGGCAAAGCTGAAAGACTAGGAGCCGATCTAGTCATAAAAAAAGAAGAAACCAAATGCAAATAAGCCGCTTCTCCTTGGCTTTCCTGCTGCCCACTTGAAGGCTTCTTTTCTCATGTAATGCACTCGCTCACCCAAGAAATCAAATCCTTCTCCAGGACTAATTTGAAAAAGCAATGTACCAGAGTCACAACTTTATCTGGGAAGAGACTTATCGAGACCTGGAGGGATGCCCAGATGCAAGTGGTGGAAGTGGCCGATTGTAAGGAGGGGGACGCCTGTGGCTATGTGCAGGACCTTAGCCTGGACCTTCAGATTGGGATGATTAAGTCGTGGCTATTGTTGGGTATGTAGTTTTTAGCCAAAACAGCATTAATAACTAAGCAGACCTGTGTGCACTGGAAAACTATGGGTGTGTAATTATGGCTGTGCATGGCAGATATATGTGTGTGTTTGTGTACATACTGGGATAAGAGATTATATGACTTGGCATCAGATTTTTGTTGTTTTCAATGTGCTTAGTTTTATAGTTTTATTAAGGTTTTCAGGTTCTTGTTCTTAACTGGGAGCTACCTAGAGTTGGTTATGAGATGGGTAGCAATTGCTTTCAGATCGTAATAGTGTACAATATAATAATAATGCACTAATTCTATGATTGCATTGCTTTCAAGATATAAGATTAGCTCCAGTAATAAAATCTGTAGATCTTCAGTTGGTAATAACTGGCATAGCTGTCCCAAATGTGTTTTTTTTTTTTCATGAGGCAACTGGACTTTGTTTTTCTTTGAAGATATTTTGCTTCTCATCCAAGAGAAGCTTCTTGGATGAGAAGCAAAATATCTTCAAAGAAAAACACGAAAGTCAAATTGTCTCGTGAAAAAAAAAAAAAAAGCACCTTTGGGACCATGACCTGGATGACTGAGAATCTTCATAGACAACTGGCATAGCTAATTCATTCTGCATCCATTCTATAAAAGGGTTTTTTTCCCTCTTGGCTGCACCCATGTCTTGTATGCATGTAGAATGTACATATATGTAGTACCTATACATGCATGCGTGTAAGAATAATTTACTTAATTTCAGCAGAATGATATACTGTATTCGGTTCTTTTGTATGCATGTAATTATTTCCCAAAATTTAAGGGATACCATTTCTCTTTCACAGGTTCCCAGGATGCTGCTCATGACTTGGAGACAATGAAAAAATATAAGGTAACATGGTTTAAAAAAAAAAAAAAGTGGTCGCAACTTATGGTTAACATTAGTATGGTTGTGGAGCTCTGGTAATAGAAATGGGTACATTTGAGTAAATCTTTGGGGAGGTTTTTTGCCCTTAGCCTCTCACAAAGCCCCAAGTTCTTGCAGAACCTTAGAGTTTTATGGACATAGTTTCAGAAATTTTGGCTTACTGGTTTGGTATTGAAATATACTTAATCACAACCTTGCAATTGATTTCATACAGAAAATTATTGTTTGCCATTCAGAATATGAAGATTATACAAGCAAGTGTATTCTGAATGTGACAGTAACGTAACTGGTGGGCTGCAGACAATAATATGTTGGCTTGCAAGATAGTCTGATTACAGATCCCAGCTTACTCAGGGTAGCATGAGCTTGCTTAGGATAAAATTGGCTATTGGCTGTACTTGTGGAACAAAGGCCATATTATGTCAAACTATTGTTTTCTTACTGTTGACAAGGAATATTGCCTATGTGTGGGCTAAGAATGGTAACCAAATCTATATCTTATTTATGTTACTGAAATATGTTATGTGAAAGCCTCAGTTGAACAAAGCCACAATGAGTGAATATTGATGATTCCTATTGGTAATCATCATAATATGCAAAGATTGTGACTTGGAATGTAAGAGGAGAAATGATCATGAACTAATGAATGAAATGAAGTAGAAAAATGTGTTTGTCAGTCTAAGACAGGGGTCCTCAAACTTGGCCACTTTAAGACTTGTGGACTTCAACTCCCAGAATTCCCCAGCCAGCATGGGAGTTGAAGTCCACAAGTCTTAAAGTGGCCAAGTTTGAGGATCCCTGATCTAAGAGAAAGAATAAGGATTTAACAGATCTGAATGAAGATGCCACTCTGATTTTGTGACTGATGAATGGAATTCCTTTGAAAAATACTATCTTTATTGCATGTTTTTTCTGCTTTAGGTTACCCATGTTCTAAATGTAGCTTATGGTGTCGAAAATGCCTTCCCCAATGACTTTACATATAAAACGATCCCTATTCTTGACCTGCCTGAGACTGACATCACCTCTTGTTTCCCTGAATGTTTTGAATTTATTGAACAAATCAAGTTAAAGGTAAATAGTTGTAGTTGTTATTGCAAGGAGTGGTGAATGGCTGTGTTTGTGTGTTAATTAAACTCCTCCATTTTTTGCATTATTAGTTAGAAGACAGATTCATACTAAAATCACTTAAGGCATCTTGAGGCTGAAACTACCTATTTATTCCCATCCTTATTTGAATGAAAGTTTAAACTTAAATAAATTAATGTAAACCACGTGCTATATGTATGCACATATATACACTCTATATCTCCCTGGCAGGGAGATGATCTTTTGAAACAATTGTCTCCAGTCAAGATAATCATTTCAGTGTAAAGCTTAATAATATATGTTAAGTCTTATAGATACAAAAGATGTGGAGTGTGATTGTGTACTGGAAATCTACATCAAATTAGGCCCCTTGAAGTGCTTTTAATTCTGTACTGAATTGTGGCACTGAACTGAGTAGGAAACATTTAGATTTCATACACATGACTAGGATTTTATCTTGCATGTATAACTTGTCAAAATAAATTAGAAAAAAATATTTTATAAAGATACAGTGCTTCTGTACCTGTTTCCTTGTATACGTAATCCGATATCTTTTTCGTATAACTTCATTTGATGCTACAATCTGTTAGTATCTTCACTTTTTCAAACCTGGTCCCAAGTGCTTCTGAGTTTTGTCATGTTCATTATTTACACAGTTTGAAAGAAAGGAAGATAACTTTGCTCCATTACCTTTTGTCTTATTTTAGAAAAAGGAATGTGGTGCATTATTAACAAGTTACCTGAAACGTGTCTTTATTTCATGCTCTCCTGAAGGTTTCCAGTTACCGTTTCCACTTCATTTCTAAATTAGATTGGCCATTCTAAGATCCTGGTGTTACTGTTCTGCCTCAGAAGTTTTAATTTTCCAGTTAGCTTTGTATACACAAGATTGCTTTTACAATCTTTCCTGATATTTTTGGTGCTTCATAATACAACATTTCTTTATTGCATAAACAAAGCATTCAATATTTTATTGAAGGTGCCTGGCCAGGCAAAGCAGGAAAATAGAATAAAGTATGAGATTACAAATTGCTTCATTAAAGCAAACAAACCTGCAATAGAATACATTGTCTATATTTCCATGCATGAAATAGGCCGTAGAGATCAAAATTCTCAATTATAGAAGTTTACAACTACCAAATTATCTTTTTGTACAGTGTTGTTGCTGCACATAGTTATATCAGTTTGAGGGGTAGGGTCACAAAAACTGCATTATGTAATTTTAATGATAACTGTAATTCTTAGATCTTTAACTTAGTTATCTATCTTAAATGAATTCTAATCCTATTTCACCCCCATGCTTATGTTCTCAAATCCCTATTTACTTCTAATCTACACCAGAAAAAAACAGAATTACCCATTCTGATTTCAAATTACATAGTTTTTGTTACATTCAGCAAGCGCACATTTAAATTTTCTGGTTGATTTTGTTGAAACATGCCATCCTAATAAAATGGATCTTTGGTAACTGGTTAGGCCCACCATGGTCAGACCATCATCAGAAATATATACAGTAGACCCTTAAATGTGCTTGCTGGCATAAACAGATGCTTTGTCTGTCATTACACAGCCACACCATCAGTCTCCAGCTGAATCTTACATTTCTGTTGGTGTGCTGAAAACCATGAAATGTTTGCTGCTAAGGGTGAGAAAAATAAACAGTAGAAAATCCTGATTATCTATTTAGAAAGAGAAGCATTGATTCTTCATTACCTTTTAGCCATCTATGAGTACTTCAGAAAGGGGGAGCATTGACTAAATACTGAAGAGGGAAAGATTGAGTCTAGCAAAATCTACACCGTCCACAGGGATTCTAGTCAAAATGTATGTATGAAAAAAGAGTATACATATACTAAAATTATACTTCTGATGATTTTGTAGAAAATTTGTTTAAAATGCCTTTGTAGTAAAAGAACATATTGATTGCTCCATTTTTATGGAAATTGAAAGCTTAAACGTGTCTTTCCTTTCTTTTTCAAAGGGTGGTGTTGTGCTTGTTCACTGTAATGCAGGAGTTTCCCGGGCAGCAGCAATTATCATAGGGTTCCTAATGTACTCAGAAGGACTCAATTTTGCCATGGCTTTTTCTGTGGTGAAAAATGCAAGACCTGCTATTTGTCCAAATTCTGGCTTCATGGAGCAGCTCCAGAAATACCGTCAATTCAGTTGTTAAAAATGGAAATTTAAGTGTCTAGGGCAGTGGTTCTCAACCTTTCTAATGCTGCAACCCCATAATACAGTTCCCCATGTTGTGGTGACCCCCAACCACTTATACATCACCGGGTGCCAGGGGCAGGAGAAAAGGGGAGAAAAATGGCGGACAGCCTTGTTTGGCGACCCCCGTGAAATGGTCGTTTGACCCCAAATGGGGTCCCGACCCACAGGTTGAGAACCACTGGTCTAGGGGAATGAAGAATGAATTTTATGGTTGTATGGTAATAAGAGAAATGGACTTTATCACAGTGTTAATAAAAGTTGCACATCATTTCAGCTCTATATCATTGAAAACTCATCTTCGTTCTTACATGTAATGTTGAATTAATCTCAGATGCATTTTGCCTTTTAAAAAAATAATCTTAATATAACAATCGATGTGGACTTAAGCTTCTTTGATTTAGCAATTGTCTATTACTTGCAACTATGTTTTACCAATTAAAAAAGTTTAAGATCACATAATCATATCAACTCACTGTTTGGTTCAATAATCATTGATACGTATGTTAGGCTTCATTGGGATCAGCCCAGAATCCAGTGGAAAATCGGCTATTAGTCCAAGTGAGTCCTTGTAAAGCTGATAGGAGTCAGGTTCCAAAGTAGACCAAAGAGGCAGATGCAAGTCAAAATTCAGATAGATCAGAGGTCACAGAGACAGGTCCCTTAGGACATGGATCATGTCTTTAATTTTGCTGGATTAAGACTGTCCATGACAGTTAGTTTTCAATGCTTAGGCAGGGTAAAGTTAAATCCACTTCAACCCCAAATTTCACTCCATTTGTATTGTGGCCAGTGCATTTCAAGATAACTGCTAGTAGTCCAAATGCAAGTTCTTTTGCTTGGTGATATATTGTACTAGGTGCTCACATCTGGTATTCCAGACCTAAGAAATTGTTGGTCTTTGCGTATTGCAGGGATAATGCCTCAAAAGAGGAAGAACAGCATTTTTCTTTCCTTCAGAAACACCCATACGCAGAACAGGGAAGGAGTTTTAAATCTAAGAACATGCATCACAAATGCTCACTTCTAGGATACTTACTAAGATTTGTTGGGTATTTAAGACCATTTTTTCCTTCCCTGAAAGCCATTTTCCTTCATTTATAAATGGTACCCAATATTCCATATTTTAAATATTTCAGGGAAGCATTTGTCCTTTCCTCTTTGGCATTCATGGCAGCTTATACAATAACAATAAATATGCCTAAGGTCCAGATGTCAAAAAGAAAATGAGTTGAAAAAATATGAGACAAAAAGTTTATATTAGACATTGAAGGATGTTCAGCAAAGGATCATCTTAAACAGAAAAGTAAAATTAAAAAAAATTCTTCTAAACTTTCAACATTTGTTTGGAATTTAAATCTTAGTAATCATATTCTCAGTGAAAATGTTCACTCTTAGATATTTTACATCTGCATCTTGGTAACACCTTTCAATTATGGTAATAAAGGACTCTTATCAGTAATGCTAAGCTGCTTCAATTGTGGCTGAACATGAGCCAAATCTCAACACCTTTATTGAGCCATAATTAAAATGCACTCGTCATAATAAAGGCTTCAACCAACCCCATAATGTTAAATTTGGGGAGAATGCTTTGATAATGCTGAAAAGTTAAGATTTTCACTTGCCTGACCCTTCCTACATCTACAATATATGAATCCTAGTACTAAATCATATTATAAGATGGATCTATCAGAATTCATGCAGACTCCAACTCCCATCTATTCTTAGAATATAGTATTGTTAATTTATGTGTCTGAAAGATCATGAAATCTTCATGTCACAAATCATATAAATCAGGGGTGTCAAACTCGCAACATCAAGTGACGTGTTGCGATGTATCACGACTTTTTTGCCATTGCTAGCAATGAGGTGGGCGTGGTTTTGCTATGATGCATCCGACCCGTGGGCCGGCAGTTTGACACCCAATATAGATACATCATTCTCATGACACAACTGACAATTATATAATATGCATCATTAATGAGCTATCATACCGTGACACCAGTATTGTTTCTGTAAAACACTGTAATTACTGCAAAATTATTCGTTTTTACCATCAGATCCTTCCCCAATATGGTATTGCATCATTGAAGGCACTTCTATGCAAAGATCTCTATAATTCCTGAGATTTCAGAACTGAACCTTTTTAGCTCTCTCATACAGGATATTTGAAACTGCAGTTAAAATAGTATTTTTTAAAAACATTGTGGCTTTGTGGATGATTAGTGTTTTCTCTGCAGATATTCCCCCTGCACTTCCATTTCCTGAGCTTAAACCATTTTATAGTCTTTCAAGTGCAAAAGTCGGTCTGATATTGTGCAGCTACCCTCTTCATACGAATTCTGTTTCTTCTCTAGGACCAAATAGATGAGGGTTTCACTTGCACTTGCATTCTCCAAATCCTTCAAAAACTCTATGAAAACAAGCTATGGTTACTTTAATGCCAACAATTTAGGATTAAGAGTAAGGAGCTGTAAGTCCAGGACACTCACACGTACGTACCCTTTCCAAAGGGGAAATAGAGGAAATCCTACTGCTTTCCTCCACCTTTTTAAAATGCCTGCAATTGTCTGATCTCACGAAATGAAACAACATTTCCTGTTATCCTAGGGCAGAAGGTATTGACGTTGTAATTTATGTTTTAAATAACTTGAATTCCTTATTTTTCTGCACGCGGAGTTTGAAAAAAACAAGCTTTTACCCCTCCTTTCATCTTCTACAGCAGAGTCGCTGTCATTAAAAAACAAAAATAAAAATCGCTGCTTTCAAAAAGCTTTCAACTTCTAACCACCCATGAACAACGGCCACTCACTCACTCACTGAGCCAGAGCCAGGGCCGGAAATTGAGCCAGGCAATAAAACTCAGCCGAAAACGGCCTTCCGGTCTGCAATGTCTCATTTCTCCGCGCATTCCCAGAAGGGAAACGACCATAGAGCCATAAACCTGTAGAAAGAGAGAGGGGCAGCCAGTCTCAACTTTATGGCCTCGTTCTTGGGAGGAAGTGGCGTCTGCCTTTCCCACCGCGGGCAAGAGCGGCACTTCCGCCTTATTTGAAAGTGACGGGCTGAGGCAGGAGGGAGGCGGCTCCGGTGTACACGCGGCCGGTCTTGGCAAGTGGCTGCCTTCGCTATGGAGCTGCCGCTCCCTTCCCCTTCGTTGGGTGAGCCTCTTCTCGGGTTAGGGCTCAATAAAATGAATTAATTAAATGACGTTAAGCCTGTTTGATCCGCCAGACTTTTGAGAAAAGCGGGAAAGGGAGACCTGTTCATTGCTGGTCGTTTCCACTCTTTCTGCTCATCCATTTGGGACCCAGTGACGGGGGTGGAGGTGGGATTCTAGAATTCCTCTGAGGCTCTCGGGGGGAGGAGGGGGGAAGGGGAGGGGAGTCCCCGATTGTGACGTCACTTGTACCTAGATCTGCATGGCGAAATCCCGGAAAGATTGCCAGGGCGTCAGAGGAGGGAAAGCAGGTCGTTTGTTTAGTGTTTGTTCGAGGAAGGGAAAAAGCCAATGAATCCCCACTACGGGTTCAAGCGCGTTCAAAACAGGGAAACTGTTTTTAGACCTGTTGGCTTAGGTAGGCTGTAAAGAGCCAGGAATATCTCTTTGCTCTAATAAAAAGTTACTGGGGGGGGAGGGGGAGGAAAACTTGATCTTATGTCTGCTATAAGCGTCCCTTGTTTGTTCGTAGGGAACGGTTGTTCTAGGAATAAGAGTAACTTGGATTCAATTTTTTTTTGCGTTTGCAACCACCAGTGCAGGAGTTACGACCACAGTTGAGCCCAACATTTGTTAGGCGAGGTTTGGCCCGTCTTACGACTTTTCTGACCACAGTTGTTAAGTTAATCATTGCAGTTAAGTTAGTAACAGGGTTGTTAAGCAAATCTGCCTTCTGCAACGCTCATAAATCTGAACCAGTGGCCAAGTGCCTGAGTTTTGATCATGTGGCCGTGGGGATGCTGCAATGGTCATAAGTGTGAAAAATGATCATAAGTCACTTTTTCCAGTGCCGTTGTAACTTTGAACAATCACTGAAATGAACTGTTGTAAGTGAAGGACTCCCTTTATGATGGTTGCAAAGAAGGTAATGCTTAACAGGGCACTTGTATTCAACAGGAAAGCTTTAGTTTTGTTTTTTTTTGTTTTAAGGTCTTGGAATGAGCAACCAGTTACTGTAGTATCTTTGATAGAGGCTGAATGTAATTCTTATGTGAACCATCTTTTGTAATGCAGGTGCTGAGCCAATGGCATTAGGATCCCCTTCTTCACCAAAACCAGGTGCTGGTGCTCAATTTCTGCCTGGATTTCTGATGGGTGATTTGCCAACTCCGGTGACGCCGCAGCCTCGCTCTTTAAGTGGTCCTTCACTTGGTGTAATGGAAATGAGGTCACCAATGCTTGCTGGTAAACTGGTTCTGAATTAAAATACTTTTCTACTAGCTCCAAATGGCAAAAATTCATCAAGAATATCCTAGAACAGTATTGAAGTGTGGGTGTTACTTGAGACAGGGGTGTTTGCTAAGAACAGGTCTTTGCTAACTTTAAAAAAAAAAAAGGAAGCAAGCTAATTTTAGCATGGCAAAAGATTTTAATATTTTAATTTTAGCATGTGTACTGCATTTCAAGTATCTTCTAGGGTGGATAGCTTAAAAGAAGTTTTTTATCTGTTCAGCTTGCTGACATTCATATGTTACTGAATTTCCCAAACACTGCATTTTAAAAAATCATAAGTGCTGCATACATAATGTTCTTCCCTGAGGGTACAGCAAAATACTTAGGATTTATAATCACAAATGCAATTCACACAATTGTAATTCAGATTTTTTTCCCCTTAAGAGAATAAATTTGTTTTGGAGCACAGTGATACTGTCCATATCTCCCTAGGACTACTTATATAACCATGATTAGCAATGTTTTGATGGTTTCCAGAGTTCCAGCCTTTAATTTTTGACAAGGTTCAGAAACAGTTATGCAGCTTTATTCATGTACAGGATTTTTTAATTCATAATAATCACTTTAATGAGGGTCCTAGATATTCTCTGACCTCGCTTGTTTTCTTGCAGATGTTTCATTACTCAAGCTAATGCTTGGTGATGATGTTACCTAACTTGGGTAATGAAATGTCTGCAAGAAAACAAGCAAGCTCAGAGAGCAACAAGGATCCCTCATGTCAGCCCTGACCTACAAATATTCTCCTTTATTAGTAATCACTTTAATCACAAAAAAAGATAGTAAGGATTACAGAAAACTCCATATTAACTAGTTCTAATATTATATGTTT